GCCCCCCTCGGGCAGAATCTACCCTCTGTGGGCAGAACCTTCTCCCTTGTCGAGCAGAACAACGTGTCCTTCACACGTTCCCCACGTGCTCCCCTCCGCGGGAAGACGTCACCAACCAACTGCCCACCTCCGAAAGAGCAGGTCAAACCCACTTTCCGGAGATCACGGGACAGTTGAACTAGGGCGAAGACCACGTCCTGGTCTTCACTACGCCACGTAAGCCCTAGCAGTCACTTGGGTTGGCCCCGACCATCCAGCCCAACTCAAATGACCGTTGGCCCTGCGTTGGGGTTTCTCTATAAATACCCTTTTTCACTAGAGGGTCAGGTATTCTCTTCTTACCCTTTTCTGTACTTGTGATCACTCTGCCCAACTTCTTACTTTGGCATCAGAGTGTCTTGCAGGTACACCCCCCCATCTTCTTTTCAACACCGATGAGCAGGCAGCAGATCAACGACGTGTGGCAAGTCCTTTGTCCCCTTTTGATCTGGTCAGATCAGTAAGTATTTTAATTTTTTTTTGTCATTCTTTACTAAGTTGAATTGTCCTTTAAAACTAATGATATTTATATTCTTTTGCAGAATGTATCAAGGATTCGTTGCCGTGTGCATAACTACATACCACACGACCCATTCATAGAAGGATACCTAGAAGCATGTAGGTTTGGTGATTTGATAAAAATTAAACCGTACTCACTGGATCCCAAATTTGTTCTACCGTTGCTAGAACGTTGGAGACCAAAAACTCACACATTTCACCTACCTTTTTGTGAATGTACTGTAACTTTACAAGATGTCTACATGTTACTTGGCCTACACATTAATGGTAAGATCGTCAATGGCAAAGTTGGTGTCAATGACCAACTTTTTGAATATTTACTGGGCGCCCCTCTATGTGTCAAAATACCCCAGCCACAACATGAAGGTCAACCGAGGGGGCAAGGTATTAATTTGAAATACCTCAGAGAATACTGCAATAGTATCGTGTTAAATGAGGAATCCACCGAGTATGAGAAGATACTTAAAACTAGGTGCTATATTATGATATTATTTGATCATTTTTTATTTTCAGAAAGTACTGGAAATAGTGTAAATATTATGTATTTACCGTTGTTGCACAACATTAATAAAGTGTGCATATATAGTTGGGGTTCAGCTGTCCTCGCCCATCTATATAGTTCATTATGTAAAAATGCAAAAAAAAAAATTCTTGTATTTTTTATGGCTGCGCCTATCTCCTTCAAGCGTGGGGTTGGTCTAGAATGTCAACATTTTCTCCAATCAACCTCAACCCATTCACATTTCCCTACGCTAACAAGTAAGTTTATTTTCAATACGAGTATATAAACGATGTTTCTTTGTAACTTAATTATTTGTGCAATGTTTCTTAGTAACTAATTTATATGTGTATCTTTTTTTTAGGTGGTCTGTTCCTAGAATGAATTATCAAAGATGTCCCAGGAACTCCATAACCATCTACCGCAACCTTATAGAACACATTGGGTCAGACGATGTAATTTATCTACCAACGATGTCCCATTACTTTGTCTATTTAATAACCACATACTTGTTTTTCTCATTAAATATATTGTTAATGTAGTTTGTTTGGATATCGTACGAGGGTCTCGACCATCAGCCCAACGCCAATGATGTTGTCGTGTGGACAGCTAAAACACCTATCATTCGGTTCACTACAGTGGAGATGCACCAAAATGATCGGATGAAATTGCAGTTCGGAATGCATCAGGATATTCCAGTCTCTCTGACGTCTTTGGGAGCCTAACATCAACTAAGGGTGGATACACAATGGAGTGTAAATCATTGGAAGGACTTTGCAAAAGAGATGTGTCTGCATTGGAAGAACCGACATTAACACATCTTAACCGACCCTATTGTGGAAGGGGCTAGACCAAGTTATCAATATATAATTTGGTTTAGGTCGGTTACAACATCATAATAATTTGTGTCTGAGCCGACATATTTGATTGACCCAAGGCAACGTGCGTCTTCCTCAAACCCACAACAACAACCCAATACCCAACATCAAACACCATGTTATACCCAACATCCAACTATGCCCACCCAATCAATCTTCCAAAACTATAACTCATACATGCCATCAACCCAATCACAAAAACAAGAGTCTTACCCCTACCGCCAGCCTCCCGAAATCGACACCACTTCTGCCTATAGCCCAAATAACTCTTTCGACCCTACCCCATCCACCTATAACCCAGATAACTCTTTCGACCCCACACCAGCCAACTATAGGCCCCCACGAATGAACACACAATCTTTATACCAACAAAATATCGATCCATTTTTTGACTACTAAACCCCACAACAACCATTACATCGTTTCCAAACCGATTCGATGTACCAATTCAGACAACCATACCCTCCACACCCGACCCAACCTCCCCGTCCCAACTACGAAAACATGGGCATTGAACTTAATTACGGAAGCGCCGTTGGCAGTGGCCCCCCGACTATTGGGGTCAAATGCTTCAAAATTTATCTGATATGTCGGGGCCATCTCAATAAATACCTCTTCCACAGGTCAACACACAAAGACCAAATACACTTCAACAAGCTCGTGGTAGACCTCGACACCGCGCAAATCCTTCCAAATGTGGAACCGGTGGTCGTTTTGATAGAGTCGATCATTGATTTTCCTTTTTTCATCTGTTGTACACTATTTTCGCTTTTTTATATTATAAATATTATAATTTATTTTTTCTTTTCATTAATTTTTTTATAAAAAATATTAAATAATATATAAAAAAAAACACCCCTAACTGAGGCACCATATGATATGGTGCCTCCTCTGTAGGCTAGGGCAACTTTTTAAATGGCGACACCATCTCATATGACGACTCACCTTAAGCCCATACTCATCAGCCATATAAAATAGAGCCTCAATGCTATTTTATAGTCACTTTAGAAATTTTTTTGAATTCCCTATTATAATGGTATTTTTTTTTATTTTTAAAAAGCATAGTTATTTTTAAAAAAGATTAAATAAACAGGTCCTAACAATAAAACGTTATTAATCCCACCGCCATGTTAAATTCAATTTCCAATTTTATAATAAAAAAAATTATTCATATTCGAAATCTTGTGTACTTAATATCTTTTTGTCTCATATTTTAATTTTTGGTTTATTTTGATTCTTTAATTTTAAAAACATTTATACTGATCTTTGAACTTTTCAAATTGTCTTATATTAGTCTTTTTGTTTTATTAACAACAAAAAAATTTTAAAATCAAACATTAAATTTGTCGTTAATTAAATAAAAAATAACAATATAAACTTTTTAAAATTAAGAAATAAAAATGAATCTTGAAATTAAAATATAAAATTAAAAAAATATTAAACCTAATCTTCGTAAGAAGCAAAAATTCAATCATACTATTATCGCTTATCTTAAATTCAGCTTCCAATTTTCAGCTAGTGACACAATATAAAATTCTATCAATTAAATGAATTAATTTTTCAAATATAAAAAAACTATTTTCTATCATTTTAAAATCACAAAATCAACATTTCAGAGCCTTATCCGGCTTTCTTTTTATATACTTATATTCCTAATTACTTTTTATTACTTATACGAGTTAAATAAAAAACAAAGATATTGTTACACTAACTAAGTTCTAAAAGAAACTAACAAGATTTAAAAAATTTCTATTAAGATTGAAACTATTAAATACTAATGTTGATTGCATATTATAGTTTTTTTTTTGTATTTGATAATTTTCTGTGATATTTCATCTAATCTACCGACTACCAATGACATTTTTATGGTATTACATTAATAACATTTATTTTGAGATATTTTTTACTAATATTTTATTTAATATATCTCCTTAATTGCTTTCTATTTCAATATAATAATAATAATAATAATAATGATAATAATAATAATAATAATAATAATAATAATAATAATAAACATTCAAAACATATCTTTACTTTTTATAATTTTATTTATGTGTCCCTCACCATTATACCTACTCTTTTCCTACTTATTTTTTTATAATTAAATTATTAATTAATTAAATAAACATTTCCTAATTATTAAGTTCCTAAATTAAAAAAAATTCAAATAGTTAGTAAACTAATTAAAAGAATTTCTCAAAATTTCACCAATTATATTTATTAAGTTGTCACATAAAAAACTGTTTCATGTTCCTATTTTTACTATTGACATTTTCACCATAAGTTCCTATTTTTACCATAAGTTCTTATTTTTATGATTGACACAACATATTCTTCAAATTAATTAATTAATTAAAAATTTTAATATTCTTTGCACTAATAGATTATTAATGAAGCCACGTTTTGAACCGCTTCATCCTCGTGAAGAAGTAATCTTGGTATGGATTCAACTTCCTCAACTGCCGCTCATTTATGGGGAGCTAAAAATTTAGGAAAGATAGCAAGTGTGCTGGGCACCCCTTTGATGACTGAAGAATGCACCGCGAACAAATACTGTATCTCGTATGCTAGAGTTCTAGTAGAAATTGATATTACACAAGAACTCATTCCTGAAATCACTATAATGGATGAGAAAGGAGAAAAGATGCAACAATGGGTAGAATACGAATGGAGGCCTCCATACTGCACAAAATGCCAACGGATTGGGCACAAATGCGAGGAGAAGCAATTATAGAACCTAACCAAACAGTGGATCCCTAAAGAAAAGAAACTCCAAGATAATAGGGGGTCGATAAGGAAGTGGAGGCCTTGAAGACACCAACACAGAAAGTAACAGGACAGGAACATACTAAATCTGGAACGATTGTGCGAATGACGAACAACAAACAAACTGATATAGACGAAGATATGACGTGGACAGAGGTGAGGAGGAAAGACAAAGTTAAGATCAATGGTACTGATAATGGTACAAGTCCAAAAAACAAGAAGTCAATGAAGAATGACGGGAACCTTTATGCAACACTCGGGGATGGTCCAGCCTCGGTGTTCCTAGACGATGTCCCATGATTGTCTCTTGGAACATCAGAGGGCTGAATAAAGCGGGCAAAGTTAGGGAGATCGGCTCTCGTCTCCAAAAACTTACCCATGTTATTTCTGTTTTAATCGAGACAAGAGTTAAGGCTAAGAATGCAAGGTGTATTCGACGAAAACTGAGATTAGAAGGTAACTATATAGACAACTACTCAAATCATGATAATGGCAGAATATGGATCCATTGGGATGAGAATAGAAGAAACATGGCACTGGTGGAAAGCACAGATCAATTAATTCATTGTAAGGTTAATGATGTTAATGGAAATTTTCTGTTTTGGTTGACAGCCATATATGCCCATAACCAACTGCAGTGCAAGAAGGAATTATGGAATGACATTGAAAGAATTAATGCACAACAAAATGGGCCTTGGATCCTAGTAGGTGATTATAACAACGTGATGAAAACTGAAGATAGAATTGGCGGTAATGACGTTACAGAGCAAGAATACATAGACCTGACTGCGATGATGAGTAAAACAGGATTATATGAAAAGGATAGTGGGGGAGACTATTTCACATGGTCGAATAAACAGGGAGATAATGCTATTTACTCTAGAATCGATCATGTCCTTTGCAATGTGGAATGGCTGCAGCAGAACGGAAATACGATGTTAACGAATATGAACCCCAGCATATCAGACCATGCCATGCTTGTGTTACATGAAGATATTGAAGTACAGCGGCCGAAAAGAGAATTTAGATTTATACATTGCTGTGCAGATTTGGATGATTTTCAGGATGTTGTCAAGAACAGTTGGGACATGCCGCTAGCAGGTAAACCAATGTATGTTGTTTGGAAGAAATTACAAAGATTACAATCCCACATCAGGAAATTGAGCAGACCGTTGGCTGAGATTCATAAGGAAATTGCACGAGCTCAGGATGATTTGAATAAGGCGCATGATAGTTTAATGATAGATAGACTAGATGCAGACAAGATTAATGTGGTTAAAAGTTGTTCTGAGAATCTTATTAGGCTACAGGAACTGGATGATAGTATGGTGCGGCAACGAGCTAAAATTGACTGGCTGCGACTTAGTGACGGTAACAACAAGTATTTTCATGCCTCCGTAAAAATGCGACAACAGATTAATAAAATGACAAAAATTCAAAGAATGGATGGAACCATTGTTACAGATCAGAAAGGTATGGAAAATGAAGTTATCTCATTCTACAGGAAGCTTATGGGTACTAAACTGAATCATCTTGAAGGCATTGATACCGCAACTATGAGAAATGGAAGTCAATTGGACGGTGCGCAGAGAGATATGCTGACAGAGCATGTAGCCGAAGACGAAATCACCACAACTCTAAAAGGCATTGGTAATGATAAGGCACCTGGTACTGATGGTTTTGGAGCATATTTTTACAAGAAAGCCTGGAATATCATCAAACTGGATGTTATAGCAGCTGTGTAGGATTTCTTTAAGCATAATCGTTTGTACAGGGCAGCTAACTGCTCTGCTGTTACACTTATCCCGAAGCACAAGGGCGCGAAAGAAATACAAGACTATCAACCTATTGCGTGCTGCAGTACCCTGTACAAAATCATATCCAAGATCTTGGCTAACCGTCTCAGCAAAGTTCTAGGTACGATAATTGGTGTGAATCAAGCAGCTTTTGTCAAAGGGCAGAGAATTCACAACCATATTCTACTCACGTATGAACTGATTAAGGGTTACGAAAGGAGTAATATTTCCCCCCGATGTTTAATGCAAATGGATATTCAAAAAGCATATGATACGGTTGATTGGAACGTGCTTGAGAAGATTTTGAATGAGGTGGGCTGCCCACACTAGTTCACTAAATGGGTGATGACAATGGTTTCCACTGTGTCTTATAGATTTAACGTCAACGACCAGCTCACTGACATTATGGAAGCGAAACAGGGGCTTAGACAACGCAATCCGATATCACCTATGCTGTTTGTCATTGTCATGGAATGTTTGAACAAATATTTATACAAGATGCAGGAGGACTGTGACTTCAATTATCACCCCAAATGCGATAAATTGAAAATCACAAACCTATGCTTTGCGGATGACTTACTTCTATTTTCTAGGGGAGATAAGGTGTTAGTTGAAATGATGATGAAGACTTATGGAAAGTTTTTAAAGGCCACAGGACTCGTAGTAAATCCGCAGAAATGTCGAATTTACTGTGCTGGCATGGAAGAGATGACAAAGCAGAATATTACCGAAGCATCGGGGTTTCAAGTGGTCCGTCTTCCTTTTAAGTACCTGGGGGTTTCGGTAACAGGTAAAAAACTCTCTGTTCGCCATTATGCACTGTTAATAGACAAGATCGTGGGAAAGATAAAGCATTGGACTGTGTGGTTATTGACATACGCAGGGAGGCTCCAACTCATTAACTATATTATGTTTGCGATGACTAATTATTGGCTCACTTGTTTCCCTTTCCCCAAAACTGTACTACAGAAAATAGAATCGATTTGTCGTATCTTCCTCTGGACAGGTGGTTTTAAAGGGAACCGGAAAGCACTAGTAGCTTGGAAACAGATTTATAATCCTCGTAGCCATGGCGGCTTAAACATCGTTGACATTGAGGTTTGGAATAAATCAACTATTATGAAGCTGCTTTGGAATTTAAGTGGAAATGAAGATTCTCTTTGGGTTAAATGCGTACAAACGTACTATCTCAAAAATAAAGATCTGATGGAGATCCAGTGTAAGAAGAATGATTCCTGGATAATGAAAGGCATACTCAATCTTAGAGAGGAATTTATAAACATGAGCAATTAGGCAGAATTCAAGACGAGGGGAGATGTTAGAACGAGTAAACTGTATGCAAAATTACATGATTGTGGGCAGCCGGTGGAGTGGCAAAATCTGATGTATGGTAATAACGCCAGACCGAGAGCTAATTTCATGTTGTGGCTTGCTTGCCATGGGAGATTAGAAACGAAAGATAGGTTGCATAAGTACGGTATGATCTATAATACTGAGTGTTGCTTCTGCGAGAAGGATGAATCTTTAAACCACCTTTTTTTTAATGTGATTGTTTAAAGAGCATTTGGACATAGATCCTAAGTTGGGCTCAAATTAACCATTCCCCTGGAAATTGGCAAAGCGAGCTGAAGTGGCTTATTCAACATACTAAAGGTAAAGGAGTCAGAGTTGCGGTCATTAAAATGGCGATTTCTGAAACCATATATGAGATCTGCCAGGCTAGGAATAATAGTATTTTTGGTGAAAAGACGGAGATCACTACAATAGGAAGGGAAGTAATAGATATTTTGGTGTATAGAGGTTGGAATACTAAGAAGCTAAGGAAGTATATAGATATCTTATTGATAGAAGGGGGATAGATAGATAGATAGTTATTTTATCCTTTTTTGGTCCTAAGTTGTCTTATTTCGTAGCTGGATCCACTGGGATCACTTGTATCTATCGACTTTTTTGAGTAATATAGTTTATTATTTTAAAAAAAATATATTGATGGTTTCCTAAGTAACAATAAAACCATGTTTTTAATTTTCAAATTTTTTCAAATATTATTATATTTAAAAACAGTTTCTTCCACACCCGCATTATTTTTATTTATTTTATTATTTTTCTATTTTTATATCTTTCAAAAAAAGTATGAACTATCTCTCCAATATTTTAATTTAATTTTCATTAATACTAACGTTCAGAAGGGCATTCGCGTGCTAGTCTGTCCGTTATTTTAATGCACACATGTAAAAATATAAATATATATTTTTATTTAATTTTAATTTAAATAAAAGTTATGTAAAAAATTATTAGTAAGAATTTTGTGAAAGATAATAATAATTGTTCAATGAAAGTTATTGTGTAATTAATAATATAAAAATTTAAAACGTCACGTAATCAGCATTTATTAGAAGAAAAAGTTAAAATTTAAAATAAAAACTAAAAAAGATATATTTAGAAGAAAAAAAAAATTATACCAAAATTATATTTTTCCTTTATAATAAGTATAAGATTAATTGGATTTTCATTAATAAGATTCAATGAAATATTTATATGTTTAAATGTTTTTATGTATATAATTAAGGGTAATACTAACTTGTGCCCCATGGGCACAAGTTAAAAACTAAATTAAGAAATATTATTTTGGAAATTATGTATAAATTTTAATTAAAGTATAAAATTAATTTTTAAATTGTTTTTTTCAATACAAATTTACTATAAGTGGATTTCTAAACTGCCCTTGGGGCACAAGTTAACATTATCCTATAATTAATTATATATTTATAAATTATTGCCAATAATTGTGAGAATTTGAGGTGAATTTGTTTAAATTTGTTGAGAACGAGAATTATGACTTTTTTTAGGATTCATTTTAGATTGTTAGTTAATTAGTTACTGAAATTGTGAAATTTTTTTTAACATTATAGAAAATAATTTTAAAAACTCACTATAATATATATATATATATATATATATATATATATATATATATATATATATATATATATATATATATATATATATATATATATATATATATAAACTCACTAAGTGTCATCTCTCTAAAAAAAATTAAAGCACCGCTTCATTGTTATATTGACTACAAATTGCATTTAGAAATTTAGGTCATTATTTAAATAAAAAATGATAACTTATTTCTTTTAAGTTCTCTATGATTTTATTATTATTATTATATTTTATTTTTTAACTAATTTCAATTTTTTTAGGTATTATATTTTATACCCATATGTCCACTTCTACAAGCTGCAACAAAATTAGGTCTTGCAAAATTTATTAAGGGTGTTTTTTTTTTCTTTTGATTAGGTGTTAGGGATTGGTGATGGAACAAACGGACAACAAAGTGATGACTATATAACACTTGAAATTTTAGATGGCTTACTCATTAAAAGTTCAACTGATTCAACTTCATCTATTGTTCATCTAAGTCTATTAATTGAAGATTTAAGACTTTTGTGGGAGGAAGGCGTTGAAGCTGATGATGCATATTCTGGTGAAAAGTTTAAAATGCTGCAATGCTATTTTGCACAATCAACAACTTTCCTGCATATGGTAATTTGACTGGATATAGTATCAAAGGACACAAAGCGTGTCATATTTGTGAATCCAACAACTTTCCTGCATATGTACTAAATGTGTTATTTTTAGTAAATCAATTATATATATTATAGATTTTTAAAACAGATTTTTAAAAACAGATTTTTAAAAATAAATTATTAAAAACAGATTTAGTATAATATATATTATTTTATTTTAGTAAATATGTTAAAAACAGAACAACACATTTAATACATTATTTTTACACATTCAATTATTAAAAACAGATTTTTAAAAATAATGAATATATATTATACTTTAAATATGTTATTATTAGTATAATATTATTTTAGTGAATTTATATTATATTTTAAAAATAATGAATATATATTATACTTTATAAAATTATAGTGAATATATATTATACTTTAATAAATATATTATAATTTAAAAATAATGAATATATATTATAATTTAAAAATAATGAATATATATTATACATTAAAAATAATTTGTAGTAAAAATATATATTTTTAGAATAGATAGAAATGAAATAGTTTTTAAGAAACTAAGAGGGTTGATATCGTCTCGATTTCTATAAATAAAAAGTGAAAATGTTTATTAATATGTTTTAGACTAAATCAATTATATAGATACATATACTTTTTGAAATTATGACATTAATTAAATATGTATATACAAAAATCATACTTAAGTATAATTCATTTTTTTAGAAAATGGAGAACGTCTCTACATAACTAAGAGAGTGAATATTTAAAGAATAGTTTCAGGCATATTTCACTATTTTTCTTCTTCATTATGGTCTAACAACTAAATGAGAGGAGTCTCATCGGTTGAATCATGCTATTGATGTGGGTGTGATACCATTCATTGATCATGAATATGGATAACAACTTTTTTACCTTCTATTGAAGATGAATATGACAGTTGTTTGTCATGTTAACATGCATATTAGATTAAAAAAAATTATATTTGTGACGTGAATTTCATGTAACTAAATATTTATATATATTTTAATGTATATTATTTTAATTTTTTAAATTTTATAGTTAATATTTAATATTTATTTTAATTTTATAGTTGTTTTTAGTTAATATTTATTTTTATTTTTTTATTATTAAATTTTATAGTGAAGTGCAAACAATGTCACTGTTATAAAACATATTTTTGTTGTGGCATGTATATCACGTCACTAATTAGTGACGTGAAAATCACATGGAAACCAATTTAATTATTGGGTTCCCACGTGAAAACCAAGTCACAAATTAGTGACGTGGGAATCATATGAGAACCAAATTTAATTGGTGTTAGGCAGGCGTGCAGACAAAATTGGTAAAGGTTTCCCACATGAATATCACGTCACTAATTAGTGACTTGGTTTTCATGTGGGAAGATTTTCTCCTAATTTTGTTATTTGCGACGTGGGAACTATGTCACAACTTTGTGACGTGTTTTCCACGTGGGAACATGTTCCCACCATTGCATTTCCGGCGTGTTTTACCCACGTCGCAAAAGTTGGTTAGTGAAGTGGTTTTTGAGTTAGTGACGTGAAAATCACTTGGGAAAATGCAATGTTTCTTGTAGTGTATGTTGTAAAAACACAATGAATAGTTTTTAAACCTAAAATAAGTTGGTCACACACACTCTCTCTCACACACACACACTCACACACTAAAATAAGTTTTTAAACCTCTTTTTATAAATAAAATATCCCTAAACTTTTTTTGGAAATGGGTCGGTTAAATCAGGAACTGTCTGAATAGTTTTAGGACAAATTTTGTATTGTCCAATTGGTTGGTACTTAAACCCAGTCAATTAGGTTAATGCAAATTGTCCTTAAACATTTGGTACATCATCTTAACGAATGGCAACGACAATATATCATTTCCTTCCTTTTTAAACATCGTAAAAGTTTGTTTTGAGGTCTTCCAATCAATTGGAGTAAGGTGCCAATTGATTGACACATTAAATCTGGCCCAAGAATTTTTCCTTTTTTATGCCAACGTCTAGCCTACAAATAGAGGTCCTTCCCTTCATAATTTCACATCCATAATTGTGAGTACTCTCTCTCTCTCTCTCCCTCTCTCTCTCTCTCTCTCTCTCCTCTATCTAAAATATTTTAAAATTTTTCTCACTTAAATTTAGTCATAACGCTTCTAGAAAGTTCTTTTGTTTATTGAGGTATTCTTTATAATTTTAGAAAGGTCATTGTTGTAAATTCACCAATGAGTGTTTTCTCTTGGTTGGATAATTTATCCATAAGGGAGCGTTTGTTTGGGTTCAAAGCTAAACCTGTTAAAAGCTTTGGTTTAGAGATTTAGATTCTAAGCCGATGTTTCAATTTATAAGCTAAGATTGGTCAAAATATTTCTTTGGTTAGAGATCGGCTCGAATCAATATATTTCTTTAGTTAGATTTATCGGCATGTGTAATGTTAGTAGTTGCACTAGGTGTGGACATTTCTTATTTATACTTCTTAAGCCTCTTCCATATCTAACAATGCTTACACCTTATAGATATTTGAAGGTTCAGATTTCCCATACATCATAATAATTAATGGATTATATTCTTCAAGCAGGCCTTGAAGAATGAGATCAACTTGATCCCTTTCTACTATAGGATCTCTGATGGCAAGAAGTGAGTCAGCTATAGCTCTAACATGAAACACAAATTCTAAAACTAGCTTATTCCCTAGCTTGATGGTTTCCAATTCAGCTCTTAGTTGATGCACT